AATGGATTAACCTTATTTACACTGAACCTTATGGGGAAATTTGATTCGGTTGGTGACCAGTTCGGTTCACGACCATGTTCGTAGAGGTCAGAATGGATTAACCTTATTTACACTGAACCTTATGGGGAAATTTGATTCGGTTCGCGACCAGAATCGTGGAACGAATTAAGTTCGTGAACCGAGGTACCACTGTACTGCTCAGTCTATGAATGGACTGCTACGTTTTATACTTGCTAATTATTCCTGCATTTATCCCATTAGATAATATCCATACTTTGACTAAAAACTAATTAAACAAAAGGACTTGGGTCCAAATAATGATCAAAATCCACTTACCTGTTTTATTTTTCTAATTCCCTTCTTCTTGCAACCCCCTCTCTCATAATATCCAAGGATTGGGAGATCTTCTCACAATATTAATTATGAGAAGGGGGAGGTCCCTGCAGAAAGGGCAGTTGGTGAAAATTGGTGGCAAGGCCCATCTTTTGGAGGTACCTTTCCACTTTCATAGATAACTATAATTAAAATCAAAGAAATAATGCTGTGAAAGAGGATCTAAATTTAATATTAAACATAATTTTGGCTTCTTACAACCTCTTTATAGTGTTACACGTAGCATAGTGTTTCCATTGATCATAATATTAACCAGGAAATGATAATCAGTTGGCCACTTCTTGTAACATTCCAAATTTTTAATTTGTTAATTCTGATTTCATTCTTACAATTGCATTACTGTATGCTTGCAACAGAAAATATTAGTAGGCTATATGTATAAACTAAGACTACCTCCTTTTACTGCATCACATTGGTTAGAAACACTTGTTATTTACCATAAAGAGAAAAGTTGATTATTAGAAGTAGTAATACATTCTAGTAGGGGGAACAATTAAAATTAATTAAAATAACTTCAGTCTACATCATTCATGAATAAATTTTTTTCCCCTTGAATTACAATCACAGCTGCAACTTAGCCAAAAAAGTGATATTTTTTTAAATTTTAATTTCTGTCATTTGTTTATTCAAAATATTGCCCAGTATTTAATCTGCAAATATATTTATCATTGTAAGTATTTTATCTGGATTACAGTGATTGAAAGAAAATTAATTATAAAATTAATTTGGCTAATATGGATCTGAGATTGAATAACTATGTGATTTGTTAGTAGAGAGACTTTATTACTATGTACACTGAGGACTCATCTTTTGTGTGTGTGTGTGCCTTCGAGTCAGTGTTGATTCCTGGCTACTACCTGGACAAGTCCTTGTAGTTTTCTTGGCAAGATTTTGAAAGTGCCTCCTTCCTAGGTCTGAGAGAGAGTGAGTGGCCCAAGGTCACTCAGCTGCCTTTGTACCTAAGGTAGAACTACATGGTCTTGGTTTCTAGCCTGGTGCCTTAACCACTACACCAGACTGTCTCTGATGACTCATCCCAGAGTTATTTATTTATCAGTCAATCTGTGTGTCCTTGCTGTATTTTTCATTTTTATCCTGCTAAATTTAATAATTACTGACTCTCTCTTAGAATATGAAGGTGGTGAAGATGATGATTATGAAGAAGAAAATGACATTGCTGAAAGAAGTCAGGAAGAGGAGGGTAATAAATCTCACTCCGAAGAGGATGAGGTGATGCTTTCTAGAATTGCAGAAATGTAAAATATTTTAGTCCTGTCAATTTTATCTAAGGTACAAATAAAATAAAGTGGAAAGCAGAAATGTACTAGAACTTGAGAAGCATCCCTGCTACTCCCATGCTAAAATTGGGATATGTCATTTATATTTAACCATCCTAAATTGTTTGTCTCAAGATCTGTATGTTGTATTAATTTTATAATCATCATTTAAATTAGCAATTGGATTAGGGTGATGGTTTCAATCTATATGATTTCTGCTTTCAAAGAATCCTATGTGTGGCAGACACACAAGAAAGCAGATACTTTAAGTCAATATGGAAAGAGTCGCATCCTGTCCAGATAAAATATGTTGGATTTGGTAAGTAAGTAAATACTTCAGTCTCCCCCCATCTTTTTATAAGTTTAGAGGTACAAGTTCTAATGCTTAAAAGAATTATAAGCAAGCCATATTCGTAAATGCAAAGGAATTGATTTTCTTAACGTTCTAAGAAATAAAAACATTAATATTGAACCATAACTTATTTTGAAAACTCTCATGCATATTTTCCTCCCCCAGATGAGAGAAGCAGATGAAAGCACTGGGTCTGTTGATGGACCTGCAAAATCAGTACGTAAACGAAGAGTACGAAAAGACTAACACACTTCCAGCTAGTATTACTTGTTTCTAGTTACAGAATGCAGTCATACTATTTTGACACTGGCACAGGCATGCTGATTATTGAGTCTTAAACAAAGACTGAATTCAGTTTAGATTTTAAGTCTTATTTTCCAGACCTTGTCAGGTTTTTCATTTTACTTTTGAAGAAACATTCCTACTTGTAAAGTTATCTGGTTCTTTACTCCATAGAATACAAGAAAAATGGTGATATGCCTGATTTACTGTATATATTCTTTGAAGTTATTTAGGTAATAAATATTGTTTGGAAATAACTTTGGCTTTAAAATATCCTTTTAAAAGCTTAATGTTTTTTTTCCCCAGCTCTAGTGGAGATATATTGTTTTTAAATTTTAGATTAATTTTAGGTATAAACAGTTAAATAAACTCAAACATGCTTTGATAGAATCACTTTGACAATTTGAGCTGAATGCAATAACTGTGTTTGGCTATTTATTACATTTTTAAAAATTGTAATATTTACTTAAGTTTTGTTTCTCGTGTGTGCTTGATGTTTGTTATAGTTGCTGCTGTTTTTGTTTTACAGAGTACATTTTCATTAATTTTAAACAATAAAACAGCATGTTTCACATTTAAATGGAAAAACATTAACTGTATTTACATCAACGGTGTACAGGAGATTTTTCATGCTTTTATAGTTTTATGTTTCAAGCCAGATTGGCATAATCCATGTACAATTTACTTCCTAAGGATACATCAACTCCTAAATAAAAATCTTTAATATAACCTGTTATGTTTAAATTGAAACTTATTAATGTGTACATTTTGGAATCACATTTTAAAAAATAAACTACTTGTAATATTAACATTTAATTTTCTGCTATGTATTCAGTATAATTCTCAAAATTCAGTGTGTACTGTATTGCAAAATGAAAAATTGCTATAATAGCATTAGAGCTTCCAGAAATTATTGATTGCACTTTTTCTGCAGAAGTTTCACTTCTGGGTTATCTTCAGCAAATGAATAGAACAAGGATCTCTTATCTTTGGGGGCCCACTAGCACAATTTTATTTTAAAAAACTATGTTGCCTCAAGGTTCTTTATTGTGGAACAGGATTATTTTGTATCTGGAGACTTAAATCAAGCGAAGGAGCAAGCCGTGGTCATGTGATCACAATTTCCGATGTTCCCTGCTGGCTCCCCACAAGCAAGTCAACGGGGAAGCTGTCAGGAAGTTGGAAGTCACAGTCTGTAATGGTACATGAGAAAGACCTTGAGAAACAGGGCGAAGAGATGCTGCCTAGGGAATGGTCAGATAAGAGCGGGCATAGCCTGCAGCTGCATAATGGGTGGAGAAAGAGGCTCAGATGGGACTCTCCCTAACTTCTCAGACTATAAAGGAGATGGCAGGAGATTTGTACTTTTCAAACTTGCAAGATTCTGTTAATGTAGCCTTACAATAAAGTAGAAGTTTATTAGCTCATCTGGTTGTGTTTCCTGTCTGGTGTACCTGGGAAGGCTGACATGATCATGTGAGGTGCTTGCTTAATGACCCACGCAGTCCTTGTTTAACAAAGGCAACCAGGACTCCGAAATTGCCATCACTAAGCGATGTGGTCACATGCTGTCACGCTTTACGACTGCATCACTTAGCAACAAGAAATTCCAGTCCCAATTGCCATTGTAACCTGAGGACTCCCTGTAAGAATATCATAGGTTGAAATGGGAATTCAGCTTTCAAAATTGGTTTCATAGTAGCATGAATAATTTTCCAGAATTGTTGAACTTTATGGCATTGCAACCAAATATGAAAAAAAATGATCTAACCTGCTTATTACCTTCCCAGCAATTATTTAAAAATAAATTGTCCATTTTAGCAATCAAAACGGGGGTAGTATACCAACAATAAGACATACAGTTTTTCTCTGCGTATAATATTTGGAGTAAATTTAATGTTCTTCCACTGAAATTCCTATTGTTACATCTCTATCATTGCATTCAAATTCTGTATCTATTTAAATATATTGTCTTTGAACTGTTTGGATTCTGAATCATACTTCAGCAGCAGTCTATATATACAGCCTAGTAAATGCAGAGAGTTGAGGTGTGTTAGTTTTGGATGTGAATACACATGTACTTTTGTATGCTGTGCTGTTGCTTGAAGTTCCAAATATTTGGTGAATATTAGACTGTGTGACACAAGGTGTATGGATTTTAAAATTAATATATTGAAGGTGTTTGATAGAGAAAATGGAGTTAATTATTGCAACATAAATGATAAAAAGCTTGAGCAAGTAGATGAACATACAATACTGTGTTTTAAGCAAGTGTGAAAAAATGCTGTAAAGTAAGAATGCTTTCAAAAATATATATTGTAATTGTTT